GGCAAAGGTGTCCTGGGACGCTCCCCTGCCGTCAGAGGGGGCTGATCTCCTTCCATCGCATCGGCGCCTTCCAGGCGAAGGTCTGGGGTCCTTCAGAACTACCAAAAAAAGGAATAAAAGTGATAAATTCACACGCAGCACCCTGGAGGGCACAGCCGCGATGGGAGCGTGCCGGCGGCGATGCAGCGCTAATCAAAGCAAAGGTTTTATTCGGGCTGATGGAGAGGAGCGGGCTGGGGCGTGCCGGGCTCGCGGGAAGGCGGCAAAGCTGGTGAAGGCAGGGAAAAACCAGCCACCGACTCTGCAATCCGCTCTCAAACTTTGAGAGCTTCAAATTGCACGTAAATCCTCGCAAACGCTCCGACCAGGGTCCCGAGGTTGATGCCGCAGCCGTGATGTTTTGCCTGCAAAAACCGGCCGGACCAGCAGCCGCTAAACCGACCTCGGCGGCTTTGCCCGAGGCGGGTGGACAATCTTTGTAACCCCCCCAAAAAACACGTTCTGCAATGGCTCCGGCGCTCGGGCACAAGTGACTCAGCGGCTCTGCGGAGCCGCACCGCTAGATGTCAGGAGCAAATAAAAATTATTTATTTTATTTTTTTTAAAAAAAAAGACGAAATTTAACCACGGGAGCGTGGACACAGGCCAGGAGCTGGGAGCCAGGAGCGCGGCCATGCTGTGCCATCAGGATGCATCTCACGAGGACGGGGTGATGCTAACCCTGCCGGCAACCTCCCACATTTTGGAAAGCGGGATGAAGTTCTCGGGATCCGGCCCTGCCCTGGTTGTCCCACCCTGTCCTTGTGACTCACAGTGCTGTCGGGTGTTTGCAAAACATCCCTTACAACAGCAGATTTTGCTTTAGAGTGCTACCAGAGTGCAAACGTTCGGGCTTACAGTCACAGGAATTTGGGAAAACAATTTCCCCCTGTCCTAGCAGCACGCATGGACGGTCATAGGCCCCCTCCCCCACTGGCTGGAGACCGGAACCCCGAGTGTCCAGCAGCTCCGCTGGAGCACGGCAACTTCCCCACGGGCTCAAGCTCAGGCTGGCACAAGCCACCAACTCATCAAACCCGGCTTTGCTTTAAACCCGGCTTTGCTTTTAACTTGGCTTTGCTTTTAACCCAGCTTTGCATTAAACGCGGTTTTGCTTTAAACCCAGCTTTGCATTAAACGCGGTTTTGCTTTAAACCCAGCTTTGCATTAAACGCGGTTTTGCTTTAAACCCAGCTTTGCATTAAATCCAGCTTTGCTTTAAACCCAGCTTTGCTTTAAAGCTCATCAGGCTCCTCCAGCAGCAATGTCCAGGCATCGGGGAGCTGCACACGATTTCCAAAGCCGACTGCAAACTTCCCACGGAGCAGCAGCCACTGCTCGGGAGGCTTTGGAGCAAAAAATGGGTAAAATTTCCCCCAAAACGTAAGGTTGGGATTTAAGGGAAAAGAGGAAAAGGTGCTGCTTGACGGAAAGAGAGCTGGTGCGAGCTGGGTGCCTCGGGGAGAGGGCTTCTTGGGAAGCGTTCGGCATTGCCAGCGGGAAACGCAAACCAGTTTCATGCCCGCAGCACCTGCAAAATGGAGCCCCGGGACCCACCAAAGGTTTAAACCAAATTTTAGCTGGGGGAAAGACATCAAAATGTCAGTGGTCAGGAAAGCAAAGCTCCCCACGTTGCATCCCCAGGGGAGGGATGCTCCGCCCGGATACCCCACTGCTGCGCCTACCTTGGGATCATGGGAAGGAGCTTGCCAAAACCAACCGGGAAGCACCCCCGTGCTCCATGGCATGGAAAACCACGGGATATTTTGCAGCGCCAGGGTTACCTTGCCGGGCCAGGATCCAGCCGCCACGCTGTCGGAGCCTCCGGGCGTCCGCAGTGGCTGTGCCAGGGGGCTGATGAAGTGGGGGTGACTCACTTCCCCAGCACACTGGATCCGTACAGATCTCGATGTGTTTTTTTAAAGCCATGCAGGGGTTGTAAAAAAACCCCATAATCTTCCTCATTCTTGCTCTCGGGCCAAGTTGCTCAAGAGCCATTCCCACAGCGAAACGCTCCCCGCCCCTCAGCTTTGCTCCCGAAAAGCCCCGTGGAGCGCAGCCTGCCGTCGGGGATGCTCAGCAACACCTTTGCAGCCCCCTCATTCCCATTCCTATTCCCATTCCCATTCTCAGCGGCTGGAGATGGAGGATGGGATGAACAAACCATCCCCACAGCCTGCTCGCCCCCATTTCGCCTTTGTCACCCACGGATGCGTCCTCCGGGAGCCACGTGTCGCCCTGCCCTGCGACCCGCTCGGCTTTCCCGCTGGGTTTTCTGCTTTCTGGCTCGCGCTGTAGCAGGATCAGGCTTTTTCCCTTCCCGCCCGCCTGAAATCCAACTGGAAAACACCCAGCCGAGAGCCGGCATTTCGGCTTCTCCCCCAAACCCGCCACACTTCGGCGTCCCTCA